AGAGGCCCGGGGGTGTCGCTGTGCCGCGGAGGGCACTCCGCGCCCGTGCTCCTCCTCGCTCTCCGTCTTGTGGTCCCCTCTCCCGGTGCCCGGCTCTCCTGGCTTCCCCCAGGGTTCCAGAGCCGTTTCCCCGGGACTGGCGCCTCCGAGCGCGGAGCTCAGACCGCCGGGCCCGAAGGTTCCCGCGGCCTATGCGCCGCGCGCCCGGCCCGCCCGATCTCCCACCGCGCTCGTTGGGCTTTCTCCAGAAGCTCGCCGTTCTGGGTCGCGGCAGGTTGGTGAGGTTCAGCCGAGTATTCGCTTGTGGCCGCGGACGTCCGTTTTCGTGGCTGCGTGGAATCCCGTTGTAGAGCCACAGACAACCCCTTTATTCCTTCTCTCCGTTGCACCTCCTCTCTGAGGCTGCGGGAGGGTGGCTCAGTGGTATCCGTGTCCCCACCCCACCCCCGCGGGCTCTCGTAATTTCATCGGCCTTCTCGGCCCCTTCCCCCCGCCCCTGCTGCTCAACTTGTACAACCTTGGCCTTTCCCAGCCCTGATCCCGCCTTCCCTCTGCCCAGCCTCCGCACGCCGCGGTGCCCGGGGCTCAACGTGGGCTGCTTTCCCTCCTACCGTGGTTCGCCCTTAGCCATCTCCTGTGGGACGCCATCCACCCCCTCAGTGCCACTGGCTCAGCCCTGCCAGCCCCCGGCCTCTCCCCTGATCTCCAGCCGCCTCAGCAGCTTCCTTGGATGTCTGCGGAGCCTCTCAAAGCCAACAGATCAACCGCAGCGCTTTCCTGCACACCCACCTGTTCTCTACACCTACTTTGTTAACTTTCTCCATTTCAGTTCACCTCACTGTCATGGTGCCACTGGTCTAAAAATAAGAGGTCATTTTTGAGTCCTTTTTCATTTTTACCCCTTTTCAAATTCTCCGTTGGGTCTAGTGGTTCCATCTCCAAAGCACATCAGGACGTGGCCCCAGCCACTGCATCAACTTCCGGAGTGGTCAGGGGCTCCTGCTTCCACGGTCTGCTCAGCCCACCGCCCACCTGGAGCTGGGAGGACTTTCTTCAGTCTTACAGTTGTTCCCTCTGGCTGTGCCAGGATAAACCCAGACTCCTCCTCCTGGCCTGTAAGATCTGTGCCCTTTGATCCCCGTGCCTCTCTGTCCTCATCCCCTAGAACGCCCCTCACTCAGAAAGCTCACCTCCCCCCTACCCGCTTGTCTGTTTCTCTAAATTCATTCCTGCACAAAGACCTCACGTTATACGTGCTGTCTGTCGTATGTGCTGTTTTCTCTGCCCAAACGTTCATCCAGGTCATTCATCTGATAGCTGCAGCCCCTTCCTCTCCTGGTCACCTGACTCAGAGCAACCTGCCCTGACCATGCCCCCACTCCCCACCCCACCCCCTCTGCCAGCCCGCCATTGCTCACTCCTGAGATGCTCACCTGCACCTGCTTCCTTCCGGCAGCCTCCAGGGTGGCTCGGTGTTCCAACACAGTGCACAGCACCCTGTGTGTTCATTGCTGTTTCTGTTTTTGCTGAGGGTGGGGAAGCTTTTCATGAGGCCCAGCCGTCAGGGGTGTTAGGGGGGTCACCTTTGCGTCAGCACTGGCTCTGCTCCCTAGGTCTCTGCTGTGGCCACCTGAGCCTGCAGGATGTTTCACGGGATCCCAGCCACTCCTGGCATGGGAGGTGAGTGTGGCCCAAGCTGGGCCCAGGGACCCAGAGGGCCTAGGCTTTCAACCTCTGCGGCAGAGGCTGCTGGGAGTGGTGGCCGGAGCATTTGGGAGGTCTATAAGTGTCCGCCCCCGCAAGACCTCAGGTAGTGGCCAGGGGCCCAGAGACCTCCTCCAGGTGGGGTCAGCTGGGCGCAGAGATGACAGCTTTAGTGTGGCTGGAACTTCAGGGGGTCTTAGGTATCCCACAGTCCCCAAGCCAGGGAAAAGATTACAAAGCGTGTGACAAACGTGTGTGCCCATCACTGCATCGTAAGCAAGGTAGCCTAGAAACAGGTGGAATGGAGGACCAGCCCTGGCGTGCAGCCCCCTGGACCCAGAGGCATGTCCTCTGCTCAGGTCACCCACAAACTGATGGGGATGCTGAGATTGAAATTCCCCCAGCTCCCTTTGGGCTCTTTGGGACTTAGCCCGGGGGAGGCCTTGGGAGGGGTGCTGAGACGGGGCTGGGCCAGGGAGGTCGACAAGCTTGCCAGGGTGACCTTCGTAAGCAGCCTGCCAGCTATCTGCCTGTTCTGTCGCAGCCCCTGGAAACAAGCCGGAGCTGTATGAGGTGAGCGGCGGGCACCTGCCTGGCGGCACTGGCCAATAGTCTTATCTGCGTGGTCCTCACCGGGACCCCGCAGCCACTGTGGTGCTGCTGGCCGACCCTCCACCCTGTCTCCCTAACAGGAAGTGAAGCTGTATAAGAATGCCCGTGAGCGGGAGAAGTGAGTCCAGCACCCAGGCTGCCTGCCTCCCCCATACTGAGGGTCAGAAGGACATGGGGTCGGCCCAGGGAAACGGGTCCCAGGAGGCCTCTGCCAGGGGTGGGGTGAGAGGGGCAGCCAGACACGGAGCTCTGCCTCAGCGGCACCTTGGGTAGGACTGGCACCCTAGGCTCCGGGACCTTGGCTTCCCTGCCATGGCGGCCGCATCTGAAGGATGCGCTCCCTCAGGTATGACAACATGGCAGAGCTGTTTGCAGTTGTGAAGACGATGCAGGCCCTGGAGAAGGCGTACATCAAAGACTGCGTCAGCCCCAACGAGTGAGAGCCCGCTTCCCTGCACCACCGACCTGTACTTGGAAGCTTGTTTCTGCCCTCCAGGGCTGGGGCGCTCAGTAAGGAGCGGGGGCGGGGGTCTGAGGCCCACCCAGCGCAAGGAGGGTCGCTCGGGTGCTGGCAGCCTTGGTGCCATCTCGGGCAGGGACGCCTTGGCGGCAGTAGCCCAGCATTCTGGGGAGAGGGGAGCCCAGCGCCCTGGCTTCAGGGCTCTGCCCCAGCTTTGCTACCTGGGGCCTCATCAGTGCAAAGGCATAGAAGGCGAGCAGGGTGGCACAGGCAGTCAGTCTGTGGGGTGCTGCTGGCCAGGCCTGGCAGCCAGCTGGTACGTGGGGCCTTTGTTCGGTGCAGCAGCCCCTCCCCCATAGGACCACGAGCTGTCGACGTGGAGGCACAGCCAACATGGCCCGAGGAGCGGGCACAAGGGGTCTCGCTGGGCCTCTGCCTGGTGTTGGGCTGGGGGCCAACCTGCACAGTCCAGGCCAGGTCCATGTGGCAGCCGTAATTTGGCCGTTACCACCTCCCGCCATCTTCCAGAGTTATTTTTTTGTATAAACCAAGTGGGAAGGCTCGGCCCTCGATGGCCAATCCCTGGCCCTTCACCCAGCCCTCCGTGTGAGATGCCACTCGTCTGGAAGGGCGGAGGGTAAGCAGGATGTGCCAGGCGGCGCCGGCCTGGTGCTGAGGGCGGCAGCCTGACCCTTCCCCCAGATACACTGCGGCCTGCTCGCGGCTCCTGGTCCAGTACAAAGCTGCCTTCCGGCAGGTACAGGGGTCAGAGATCAGCTCCATCGATGAATTCTGCCGCAAGTTCCGAGTGAGTGAGCGGCCCCTCCACCCTGAGGGGCGTGGGCGGGCGTGGGCATGGGGGCCATTGGGCTGGGGCTGGGCTGCCCCGCGAGGCCCAGCACCGTGTGCCCTCCCTCAGCTGGACTGCCCGCTTGCCATGGAGAGGATCAAGGAGGACCGGCCCATCACCATCAAGGACGACAAGGGGAACCTGAATCGCTGCATTGCCGACGTCGTCTCGGTGCGGAGGCGGGAGGGCCACGTGCCCACAGCCCCGCGGTGCACAGAGTAGCTGGAGGGGGCGGCGAGCAGTCCTCCTGGGCAGCGTCCGGGAAACCCCCTGAGGCCCCTCTCATCCCAAGGCCCACGTGGGATGTGCCCAGAGCTCCCACCCACTGACCGCTCCTCAGCTGCAGGGTCAGGCTTAGGGCCCACGTGACCCCACGGCTGAGGCTGAGGAGGGCGAGGGCCGGCTGGTGCTGCCCCGGGCCCAGCCCTGCAGAGGACCGGGCTGGCGGGGGTCTTTGCTGGGGGCCCATGTCGTCTCACTCACACCTCTGCCGCCAGCTCTTCATCACAGTGATGGACAAGCTGCGCCTGGAGATCCGGGCCATGGACGAGGTGCGGCTCCCGGGCGGTCGGGGGTGGGGGCAGGGGAACCAGGGTCAGTGTCCCAGCGGGTCTTGTTTCCGCAGATCCAGCCCGACCTGCGGGAGCTGATGGAGACTATGCACCGCATGAGCCACCTGCCCCCTGACTTCGAGGGCCGCCAGACGGTCAGCCAGTGGTGAGTGTGTCACCTGCTGAGCCACCCTGTCCGTCGCAGCCCCGTAGCCCCCCACCTGCCGCAGCCCAGCTCTGTGCTCTGTGCCCCACAGGCTGCAGACCCTGAGTGGCATGTCAGCCTCAGATGAGCTGGACGACTCCCAGGTGCGCCAGATGCTCTTCGACCTGGAGTCAGCCTACAACGCCTTCAACCGCTTCCTGCACGCCTGAGCCCAGCCTCCCTACCCCCACCTTCTGCGATGGTCCCATTTCCCCCGACGTCTGCACCCGTTTTGCCATGCACAGTGGCCTAGAGCCCGCTCCCCCAATAACGATGCTTTCTGACCTCCCTGCTGCTGTGGGCGCCCCCCGCCCGCCCCAGGCCCTCCCTGCCTGTTTGTCTGCCCTCTGGGCCTCGGGAGCACGCAGCCCATTCATCCGGGAAGAGCCTCAGTGGCACTTTAGAGGCAGTGCCTTCCCTGGTGGGCACCGCCTGGCAAGCCAGCAGGGGTGCGCCTCCCCCCAGGCCAGGTAGGCTTGCATCTGCCTGCCACACCTTCCCCCACCTCTCAGCTGAGAGCTTTAGGCAGCGTGGCGGCCCAGCTGGCCAGGTCGGCGCAGAGCCTGACACCTTTGCAGCAGGGCCCATCCTTGTGCGGTGGCTCACAGGAGCCCCGGTTGGTAGCTCACAGTAGCACAGCTTGTCCTCCTGCCTGCCACCAAGGGTGTCCCTCACCCGGGAGCAAGGCCCAGCCGGTAGACGCCACGGGAGCCCCAGAGCTGGCCTTGCCCAAAGCCTGGTGGGGAAGCGACGCCAGCTCCTTTTGCTAGCGTTCACCACACCTGCTCCAAGGCCTTGTGCCGTCAGTGCTGGAAGCTGCCTGGCCCCGCGGGGTTCATGTCTGCGTCCTCATCCTCTGGGGCAGACAGCAAGCAGCAAACCAGAGACCAAGGCTCTGGGTTCCAAGGGGGGTGGGTTCCAGTTTTAGCAGCTGTGGCGTTGGGATAAGGGACATGCCAGGGTTTCATCATAACATTTTCTCTTAGTGGCACTTCTTTGTATCTGGCTTCTAGAGGCAACCAAATAAAGTGTGTGGTATTTCGAGTGGTGATGGAGGAGGTCCAAGGCTGCCAATGAGGAGGTGCCATTGCATATGGGGTGGTCAGGAACAGCTCTCAGCATTGAACAAAAGGTCCAGGAGAAGTGAGCAGGGCTCTCTGGGGAAGGAGGAAGGGTGTGGGAAGCCGGGTGGGAAACGGGGCTGGAAGGCGGGTCAGGACTTGGGATTGTACCCAGGAGCCCCAGATGCCAGTGAGGGACTCAGAGCAGAGGCCCTCATCTCCCTGGTGTGTTAGGGGGAAGAGCAGAGTCAGCAAGTGTGGGGGAGAGGCCGTCAGCTTCTGGGTGTGGACCGTGCTGTGTGTGGCGCCCACAGTCTGCTGGATGCAGCGGTGGAATGAGAACTCTGGGGTTACACCAGGCTTGAGCCTGAGCACCTGGAGGGGTGGAGGAACTCCTATTGAAATGTGTACACCTGGGGAGGAGGGGCCCTGTGTTCACAGGCTGAGCTGGACTTAGCTCTCCGATGGTCAAGGGGAACTGTCAAGTGCGTGGCTGGACACCAGCAGGTAGAGTTCCATAGAGAAGGGTGAAGGCTGGTGTCTGGGGTGAAAGCACACTATCATGGGTGCCAGGAATTCTACCCAAGGGGCAGGACTGGCGCTGCATCAATGCAGGAGCTGAAGACGGGGCGACCGGGGCCTGGGGAGGAGGCCAGAGGCCCAGGTGTGGAGGACGGTGAGCTCCAGGGCGGACAGAGCCGAGGAGGAGCCCTGCCGAGTCTGGCCCGCGGGGCTCTCGGTGACTTTGACAACAGTGTGGGTTGGGGTGAGGCTTCAGTGGAGCCTGGGAGAGGCCACCAGTGCCTGAGTCCCCACGACCTGCTGTCTAGGGAGCTGAGGGGGCAAAGGGCCAGGGAGGGTTGTTTGGGTCTATTTTAATTTTTTATTTTTATTTTTTTTTGCGGTACGCGGGCGTCTCATTGTTGTGGCCTCTCCCGTCGCGGAGCACAGGCTCCGGACGCCCAGGCTCAGCGGCCATGGCTCACGGGCCCAGCTGCTCCGTGGCATGTGGGATCTTCCCGGACCGGGGCACGAACCCGCGTCCCCTTCATCGGCAGGCGGACTCCCAACCACTGCGCCACCATGGAAGCCCTATAAATTATTTTTAATTTTTTATTGCAATGAAATATGTAAAACATAAAGTTGGCCACCTGAAACATTTCTAAGTTCAGCGGCATTGGGTGCATTAACGACGTCGTGCGTTCATTGCCATCATCTGCAGGATCCTTCTCATCTTCCTAAACTAAAACTGTCCCCGTTAAACAGCTCCCTATCCCGCCCAGCCCCTGGCACCAACCATTCTACCTTCTACCCCTGGATTCTGACGATCCCCAAAACCTCGAAGTATGAATGGAATCATACAGAATTTGTTCTTTTGTGACTGGCTTACTTCGCTTAGCATAATGTCCTCAAGGTTCATCCATGTTTTAGCATGAGACAGGATTTCCTTCCTTTTCATGTCTGAATAATATTCTGTGGTATGTCTAGACCATATTTTGTTTTATCTGTTCACCCACTGATGGGCCCTTGGGCTGCTTCCCTCTTTGGGCTTCTGTGAATATCCTGTGATGAATGTGGGTGTCTGGCGCTTGCTGGATGATGGACTGATGCAGGAGGGGCCTGGGGATAAGCCCAGCGCTGGCGGGGGACAGGCAGGTATGCAGGGGAGTTGGTGACACACTCTGTGGCTGCTCTGGGCTAGGAAGGGAGGGCATGGGTAAGTGGTTGGGGGGACACGAAGCAGGGAAACGTGGGCCCACGCAGAGGGGTGCTGAGGCCCAAGGGCGTGCCAGCTGTGTGCCAGGCCTCCACCAGGGAACCTGAACGGCTGGGCTGAGACCTTTTCCCTGAAGCAAACCAGGCCTTGAGCAGTGGATGACCTGAGGCAGCAGCTTGGTCCCAGGCTCAGCTCCAACCAGCCCCTGGCCCTGACAAGGTGGGGTAGGAAAAAGGCCAGTTTGAGCCCAACAACTGGGGTGGGGGGGTGGCCCAAATCTTTCCAGCTTCTCTCCTCATTGACTCAGGGGTCCAGAAGTCATCTGAACCCCTGGCAGACTCTTCCCATCCCCTCCCCTTGCCTGACACCCCTGTAGGACCCACCGAGGTCACACTGCAGTGCCATCCGGCATGTGTGTGGGTGGGAGGGCAGGAGCCACACCTGAACTCGGGCCCAGGACACTGTCCTCAGCCTGAGGCCCTGCCCTGGGTGGCACAGGATGATGGGGACAGAGTCCTGGGGCCTCTCCTTCCCTACCCCAACCACACCCCCTAGGGACAGGTCAGGGTCAGCAGCTGGTCCAACCAGGTGTGGAAGGGGCCACCCACACACTCCCTCCAGAAGGCAAGGCTGCCCCGGGACTGGGGTTGGCTAGCTCCCTGGGGTCTGCCCCTTGCCCCAGACTGCCACCTAGGCAGAGATAAGGCCTAGAAGTTCAAAGGCCGGAGCGGAGGCAGCAGGGAGGGGCAGGGCTGGGAGCCACGGTTCTCCCCCTCTCCCTGAGCCTAGTGCCCACTTCCTGCTTCCTGCTGCCCTCAGGGCCCAGGAGCCCCTCACTGGCTGGCGAGCCGGGGGGTATGGACAGGGCGCCCAGCCTCCTTTTTGCTCTTGTTTGTGTGGGGCTTTGGCCATTTCCTGGGGAGTTTCCCCTGGAGGGTTTGGAGAGGGGCACATGACTCAGCCAGCACCTTATCTCAATTCCCTCGGATTCCAGCGCCCGCAAGAATTTCAACACAGAATTCCATCGCAGCTCAGGACCCCACCCCCAGGGAGGCCCTCGAAGGCTCTGGGGGTGTCTAAGTTGCCTGAGCCAGGGGGCTGGGGGGGTGGCCCTGCTGGGGATGCTGCAGGGAGGGGAGTGGGGCGGGGCCGGATGGGGGCTTTCAGGTGGGATGTGGGGACCGGGCCTGTAGTGGTGTCTTGGAACCTCTGCACCAGGCCCCCTTGGCTTGGGGGCAGCTCTCAGAGAGAGGGCCCCGGGAAGCAACACCCACACTGAAACAGAGTTCCCCTAAAACCGAGTTCCTCTGCCAACTTCCTCCTTAGCCTCTCTATGCAAATCTTATTCCCTGTCTTGTCTGACACCTGTTCCCCTGAAGACTGAGGAGTACCAAAAAAATGGGGGGGGATTGAAACTGAGCAGGACCCTGGGGGGCCTCCTGAGTACAAATCCTTCCCTTGTACCCCGTTTCTTGTTTGTAGGAAACGGGCTTCATTCAGCCCCCTAAGACCTTCCCTGAGTTCCAAAGGGCAGGTTCAAACCGTTGCTAATCAGGGAAGCGAGGGGATGCAGAAACAAAGGAGGGGCAGTCAAGAAACTACAGCCTTGGGGCAAGGTCCTGGCTCCCGTTGGAGCTCTTCTGCCAGAACTAAGGCCCCCACCCAGGTGGAAGATGGCGACTACAAGCTGGGACCCCAGAGCACCGCCGCCGCCTCCCCACCAACCACTCAGGAGAAAGTCACATGCCCTGCTGCCCTCACCCCAAATTTTGCCTATTAAAGACTCCCCAGAAACCATCAGGGAATTCAGGGTTTTTAAATACGAGCCACCCGTTCTCCTTGCTCAGCCCCCCAGTAAACCCTTCTCTGCTCCGGACTCCGACGTTTCGGCTTGTTTGGCCTCACTGTGCGTCGGGCACACGGACTTGCATTCGGTAACAAGATCCTTGCGGGAGCAGAGGGGGTGGCCGGGGGCCACAGCTCAGTGGGCCGCCCAGTCCAGCCCGGGCTTGCCCCCGGCGGGCAGCAGCACCTCGCTGAGGAGGACCTGGAATGGTTAACCTGAGACACCTCCAGCAGCCAATCACAGGGCCCCGCAGGAAATGCCTGGAGAGCCTCGCCGGGGCGGGCGGGTCCCAGCCCAGCCCAGAGTCTGGCACCAGGCAGCCCACGCGGCCCACAGCCACCCAGGCGACCGACCATGGCCTCCCTGGAACTCAGAGCACCCGGGGGCCGCAGCTTGGCTGGCCCGGCCGGGCCCAAGCTGGGGCTGCTGCTGGCCTTGCTGGCTGTGCTGCCGTTGACCGGGACGGCGACCCCACCTGCCCGTCTGCTGACCCTGCTGTCCTCAGGCCGGGGTGTTCTGGACCGCAAGGCGCTGGGCAGCCTGTTAAATACACTAGCGGTCCGTGTGCATTGCGCCGACGGGCCGTGTGGAAAGGTAACGGCCCCACCCGACGGGTCCCCCGGCCCCAGCCCCAGCCCGCCGCTCCACCCCGAGGGCCGGCGG